TCAGAATGCACTAAAAAATTCACACAGTGGAGCATTAAGATGCCCCCGAGTAACATCTGTTTCTTCCCTGTGTGTTTTGTCCCCAGCCCCAGCAGCCTGTCGGTCAGTTGTCACCGTCCAGGCTGGGGTGGACACCAGCCTTTTGTAACTCACGCTGTGCTGTTTGCCTGCATTTGTGGGTGTTGTTTCCTGGGTCACAGAGTGGCCAGCAATGAGACCCTCTCCTCCTCCCGCTGGGGCGGCTGGACAGGTGGGTTAGAAAGGCGTGCCTGGAGCCTTGGGCGAGTGCTATGTGAACAGCCACACGGAGGCTTTGGAAAGCGAGCCATCCGTCACTACACATACTTTGTATGGGAGACTGGAGGCTGGGCCCTCTAAAGCGTGCATGCGTTGCTCTTGGTCTTAAAATATAACCCCCTCTGCGCAAGACTCACGGGCACTGCAGACCAGATGCTAGTGTGTACTTGGAGGGGGCGGTACAAGTCACGGCGTTCTGAGAAAGCCACTGCATGCGTGTACCTTGTTCCGGACAATAGTATGAAATAAATGACCCTGCCTGAACCTGCAATAACGTAAAATAAGATGGAATAAAAATCCTGTAGCAAACACGTAGGTTTCTTGAAGTCTTTCATTTCTGTCCAGGGTCGTTGTTCCCCAACGTGATTAAAGGGGCTCACATGAGCCTCCCTTCCCCCTCCTGGGTTTGTTTCTCTTTATGACCTGGGAGCTTTGAATTCTTGTGACAGAAGAGGTTGGAAGCACTTTTGGTTCCCTGGGTCAGAAGAAACCTGGGGGCCAGCTGCGGGCCCTGGGCTGCCAGGCCTCTCCTTGCCCTTCCATCCAGGGAAGATGGGAAGCTGCCCGAGGTCTGGGCATAAAGCAGATATTTTTGTATCTGGAGGAAATTTCCAAAAAATAGAAGGCCCGTGGGTTGGTGGAGTTTTACATATTTATATCCTGCAGCATCTCCCTAACCTCTTACCAAGCCCCAGTTCCTGCTGGTTGTTTGGAGCTAGGGCTGGAGCCTGTCGAGGAGACAGATGTGACACCAAGACAGCCTGGGCTCAGCTCTAGCTCAGCCCCCAAGGTGCTGGCCACGCGGGTAGGGGTCAGGGGTGACTGAGGCCTCTGAAAGAGTGACACGAATCCAGGTGCACAGGGAGAGGCCGAGAAGCAGGGCCGACAGAGAAGAGGCACCAAGCACGGGCACATGTGGCCCCCACCTCGGATCTGTGCGGTGGGTCTTCGGGGTCGCTACCTCGACTACCACCACCCTTTCCAGACCCCTTTAAAGACCTAGCTCCCGGGGTCAGAAAGGTCAGCAGATCAAAGGGCTGCGCTAACGACTTGATCCCGTTGGCCCTTGGGGCGCTGCAGGGGCCGGCATGGGCGGAGGCATCTGAGCAGGTCCCCCCCCCCACCTCGCGCTTGCCTTCCGGTGACCCAGGCCCTCCCCCGCGCCCGCGCGCGTCCCCAGGGCGGCTTCGGGCGCTGAGGGCCCGGAAGGGGGTCGCAGCATTCCCCCCCCCAGGCTAGGGCACGTCCCATCACCACTATGTGCTCAGGTCCTGACCTCTGGCTGGTTCCACAGCACCCTCATGCCTCAGTTTCCTGAAGGAAAACTTGCAACGATTAAATCACAGTCGAGCTGAGTGCACGGTCTCAGCAGGACAGGCCAGGTGGGCGGCGTCCTCTGAGGGGGGCTCCTGCCTGTTGGCCCTGGGGTTCGGTCCTGGAAACCCTCCAGCTCAGGTGAAAATGGTAAGCATACAGAGGGGTACCCCAGGGAAAAGTCTGCCACCCTGTCTTTCAGCCACCTGGCATCTCTCCTGGGTCGCCTTTATGTTAACGACTCTGTTGTACCTGCCGCGTGTCACACGAGGAAAGCGGTGTATAAATGATGAATGAACGGTGCCTGCCTTTCCTCTTGTAAGTATGTGAATACAGAGACTTTATCTCCAAATCTTCACAGTTCCCAGCTTCACATGTAATTACAGATAGAAATAGACGAGATTACAAAAGCCTTTTCGCTGGTGATTGTGTGAGTCAGCAGCCTCCTTTCTAGGGTCCTACGAGCCCTGCGCAGACACAGCAGCGGTGCGGGGGGCTGGGGGCGCGGGGAGCCAGCCGGTTAAAGGCCACCAGGCCTTTCCTGCTTCCCTGGGGAACGGAGAGTTGTCCCTGCTCTCCCACGGTTGGCTTCTGGCCCTGGGGCCGCTTGAGAGAGGAGGTACCCAGAGACCTAGGGTTGGGGGGTGCTCCTGGAGCAGACCTTTGATGCCATTGTGGCCCTTCCAAAGATCCAAGCCCAGCTCCTGCCTGCCCTAAGCAAGCTGGCGTGGTCAGTACAGAGACTGGGGGCAGGAAGAGACCCAGCGTGCTCCACTTCCCACATCGTAAACCACACAAAGATCCCACACTTCTCAGACAGCTCCGTCTCTCTCCCCGCGACACCGCCTCTCTCCATTACCTTATTCTTAAGTGTAAACAGAATACATGATCATTTTA